AGAAATAATGAGAGAAGCAGTAGAGAAAGATAAGAGCATTTCAGGTGGAGGGACTGGCATGTGCAAAGGCCTGGGGGCAGGACAGAGCCAGGTTCTTACAGGAATGGAAACGTGTTTATTGAGATTCTAGAATATGCAGATTAGACAACAGCCAGAGCGACAAGGGGCCTCTCGAGCCACTTTAAAGTGTTTAAACTTGATTCAAAAGGAACCACTGAAAAATCTGTTCATTGCAAATAATAAGGACCGGGTCTCATGGTTGCCACTTAAGGGTGCATACCAAATACTTGGAATTGCATAGATAAAATGCGTAAGAGATTGGTTTGTTTAGTTGGACCGATCATTTGGTAAAAACCATAAGATTATCTTATTCTAAATTTAGGAAGTGTTTTTGTCTCACCCACTCAGTGAGCAAAGCTAAACCATTCCCACTTACGCAGAAAGATAACAGAAATGTTAACTGATCATGATTCATTCTTGGCTTTTAAGGAATCACACCTGATTTTAAGGAAGTACAATCTGATTACAACTTCAAAACTCATGTACTGCTGATTACCAATTGAGCTTATACAAATTTCAAGTGCAACAATCCTACTAGCATGTATGGTAAAGGATTTCCATGTGCCTGATGCTCTATTTTAGCACTACGTGAACATTATCTCAATGGGCCCTTACAGTTGCTATGTGATAGAGTCACTATGATTACCTTATTTTCCTGAGGAAAGAAGCATTATGCATTTACCAAAGATGAAGTAGATAGCAAGTAGCAAAATGAGGACTCAAACCCTAAGTTTCTGACTCTGTCACCTTAATCATGTGTTCTTTACTCAAATGGCCTAAAGAGAAGGTTCTAGAAAAGACTGGATGTAGGGAGGGCAGCCACATCTCCCTGATGCCATGGAGAAAGCTTCAAAGACCCCAAATTCTAATCGTGTGAAGGCTCTTTCTTCACCTCTAATAGCTCTCTGCAAGACAGGCCTGCAGACCTCATTTATTCTGAAATAACTGGGTAGGAGATGCCAACTAACAGCTAAATTAGAACTAGCTAATATAAATGTGTTCCATTAATTTAATGACTGGTCAAATAAATGTGGCAATTTAACTGGAATTGGTCTCCTCTTTCCTGTAACTTATGCATTGTTAACTTTAGTGTGATTTGGCACCTGCATTCTTGATCTTCCTTGGCAGAAGGAAAATCTGCCAAGGAAGATCTTACTTCATCTTACTCTACCTTACTTCATCAGGTATACCTGATGAAGTAAGAGTGATGCTTCTTAATTGGCTAAGATAGCCAAATCCTAATTTTCCTGTGAAAGGTTTATAATCCTTCCTTTATGATCAGTTTTATTTTATAACAATAAAGTAGTAATTTTATTTTGAAATACATAAATCATTTCTGAATTGATCCAGGGACACTGAATTCTACTTTTCTCTCCAATGTTGACTTGAAAGTCAGTTTTACTACTTGAACCATAATTTCATATGCAAGTGCAAATGCCATACCATTTGAGTCTGTACTAATCTGTTTTCAAATTCTACACTGAGGTAGTAACTTTTTGTTCACTGTGGAATAAAAAATATATAAAACAGAATTTTTACTAGACCTTTTAAATTAGAGTAGCTCTATCTCTCTCATCTTCTCAGGTTTGTAAGGAGCAGTGAAAAAAAATCAGCGAATGTAGAGTATGATGAATTATCTAAAGACAGGGGTTTTAAGTGGCAAGGTTGATTGGAAATATTGGTAATAAGGTTTATAGAATATATCATATTGTTGCTGTTATACTATCACTTATAGTTTTTGTTTTCCCATTTGGTTTCTTATAGAGTTTGATGCTATTTTCTCTAATTCATTTGCTTATATTGTTTTACATAAAGATATATATGGAACTTTATAAACTATATTGTATATGTATTATGTGTATATATTTTTATTTATGGGTATATATGAACATATTTTGTGTGTGTGTGTGTGTGTGTGTGTGCGTGTGTGTGTGTGTGTGTGTGTATGTATGTATTTAAAGAATGAAGAAGGCTCAAAAAAATCTTGAGAAATCCAGTTTTTGATTCCAGGCACATTCTTTCAGGAATGAAAATATTCTATCCATTTTCCTCTTCTAAGTGTCCAGATATATTTAATCACATATTTTTGCCTTAAATTCCCAAAACAAATAAAATGATTAGGTAAAATCACATTAGCTTTAAGTTCCATTTAATACGTAGGTTTTAAAACATGTTATGCTCTTAAAAAAAAAAGAATGCTTCTCTTGAATCAAGAGGGAACAATATAAATAATAGCATAAGTAGAACAGCTTCTCTCCCGTCCCCCAACTCCCTCTCCCCTTTCACAAGCATCAAGGTCATCACTGATGCAATTGCATTTCAGAATTTTTTTGGTAAATGATGAGAGAGGCAATTACAAGCAGTTCTTCTCCACATGACGCTGCCTGGAAGACAAGCAAATTGCATCACTTGATGGATGCCAGCTATTACACACACTGGACTGGAATCTCCATATAGGGAAAGGAAAACAAACAGAGGGAAGACTGAACAAAACCATCAGTACATGGGAAGAAGCTATTATGGAAAGAGAAAACTGTGGTTAATTGCTAACAGAATTGAATATTGTAAAACACTGAGTACCATGAAATGTCTGTGAATGTGTATGTCCTTTCATGCAGTCACAAACATACACCATCATAATAACTTTTGAGATGGTAAATAAGATGTATGTACCCAAAGCTTAGCAAATTCAAATCATATGTGTTTCTTTATGAAGCATGGAGTCTGAAAACGGGCCACTTTGTGCCAGAGAGGAGACTTAGGTAATTAATGCTGCAGGGTGTAAACAGATACAGTCCCATACTTGCTTGTATTATGCAGAAGATTTAAACAATCTGAAATGTATTGTTTGATTAAAATGAGATGTTATGAGGAATGGTCACTAACATTATAAATGCTTGTAAGTACACAGGAATCACCTGGTGATGCTGCTTGGTACGAACTACAATTCAGCACATGGCTTTGGGTCCTTGTTGAAAAAGATGTAGTAGGGAAGAGGAGGGGGATTTAATCCTGAAGGCAAAAAGTGCTGCCATCAGAAGGCTGCCTGTCCCTTAAGGGGTCATCCGGAGGACTGTGTTGTGGTGGGGGTTGATCTATAAAGTCCATTTCTAAATTCTCTCTTTAATACTACTAAGTTTATGAAATATATGCAAAGTAATGTTTATTTCCCACTCCCAACTGTGTTTTTTTGTGACTGGTATTGTGATGTGGGTTGGAAGATGAAGTTTGATCAGCAAAAGACAAACATTAGTTTTTATTCTCATCCAAAACTTTATTTTCAACAATATAGCCATTATTAACTCCTAGCAAAGTGCTTGGGACATAATACAACAATAATAGTTGTTTATCAAATCAAGAAATAAAACAAGGGCTGAGCATGGTAGCTTATGCTTGTAATCATAGCACTTTGGGAGGCCAAGGTAGGTGGATTGCTGGAGCCCAGGAGTTTGAGACCAGCCTAGACAACATAGCAAAACCCTGTCTCTACAAAATACACCAAAAAATTAGCTGGGTGTAGTGATGTGCAACTGTGGTGTTCCCAGCTACTTAGGAGACTGAAGTGGGAGGAACAACCTGAGACCAGGGAGGTCAAAGCTGCAGTGAACTGTGATCACACTTCTTTCCCTGACCCCTTTGTGGGACTCGCAACAAGGGTACCTTGCTTACTCAGCCTGCCACTCTCAACTCCTCACAGGAAGGAGCACGCGAGCTAATGAGTATGGGAACTGGAATGAATGAGTGCTGGAGTAAACTCTGTGCAGGCCCAGCAGTGGCATCCAGGTGGGGGTGCCTGCAATTCCCAAAGCCCCTCGAGGGCATGTTACAGTGCTCTTTTAGCTCTGCCGTCCACTGTTGGCTTAAGTGTTAACAGCTCAGTGGGCCCTTTGCCTTTTTGGTTGAGGCAGCTGCCCTCCACCAGCGAGGGCAAAGGGCCAGAGTGACAACCTTTTGTATCTGCACCTGTGGCTCCCGAGCTCTTGTTTGGTGTCCAGAAAAAACGAGGTCTCATGAACAAATTGAAGGATGGTAAATGCAGGGGATTTTATTGCTGATGAAAGTGGCTCTCAGTGGGAAGGGGAGCTGAAAAGGGGATGAGATGGGTAGATAATCGTCCCCTGAAGTCCAGCTGTCTCTAGCCAGATTCTCCTCCAAAGTTATGCCATCAAGCTGTCTCTCTGAAGTCAAGCCACTTCTCTCTGATGTTCAGCCGTAGTCCTGTCTCGGGTTTTATAGGCACAGGATTGGGTGGGGCAGGGCCATGGGTAGTTTAGGAAAAGGCAACATTTGAGTGAGAAAACAGGGATAGAAATTCTCACTTTGGGTTGCAGTTTCAGGCTTTTCAGCTTGAGAGTGGGTTTTTATTGAGGACCTGACCTTTTCTGCCTAGAATTTCTCTGCCCCCTGCGTCTATCACTGTATCAGCACCACTGCACTCCAGCTTGGGTGACAGGGTGAGACTCTGTCTCAAAAAAAAAAAAAAGTACAGAGAAAAAGAAAAGAAAACAGATTGCCTTTCAAAATTGAGAGTTTGTCTTGCTCAGTATTGTTATCTCCAGCCCTTAGCATAGTCTATGATACTTAGAAACTGTTGAATAGATGAATGAGGGAATGAGACATACAATCACCAAGCTGAAAGAAAATGAGAGGGAAATTAATTTTAAATTTAAAGAGTCATGGTTTATGTGAAACAGATTTTCTTAAAATATACATTCCTATGGTAATGGACTTTTAATTCTGGTTCTGATTTAGGCATTATTTTAAAGTAGAAATTGATTGCATAATTATTTATTGAATGGAAGAATTACCAAATTATTTTAGCCAAGACTCCCTACACAAAGCATTTTTAATTTTCATCAGAGAATCTAGAAAGGTAATTGTCCTTCTGCATGTATCTTGAGATCTGTTGCCGTGAGATGCTCTGTTTTCTTACTCCTCAGGTGTGGAATCCATAGCATGTTCCCTTTACATTTAGCTGCCCTAAATGCTCACTCTGACTGCTGCAGAAAGTTGTTATCATCAGGTAAGTAAATCTGTTAGCAGAGATGAGGCTTAATGTGTCCTGTACCTGAGTCAATGAATGGCTTCAAGTGTCTGGTCAGAGTGAGTGGCTGCCTGTGCTTCATGTCATTACCTGACTTGGCAGGATGAGTTGTGTTCCTCAGCTAACTGCATGTGACAGCTCCCAGCAAATCTTGGTGTTAAAGCTGTTTGAATGTCACTATTCCTGTCCCAGAATGAAAGTCTTGTCTGTTTTTCAAGTTAAAGCTTGAGCATTCCAGGGTGAAAAGTGGCAGAGATGGCCAGAGCTTATAGAAAGGTTACATCACAGAAGAAGGAAAAGTCTTTGAGACTTAAAATGATGGCTTAGCATTTAATATTTTTCAACAAAAGAAAAAAGGCCAAATACCCTACATCTGGTGGTAGAAAATGTCATGTTACTCCCACTCCCTGGGCATTGAAAAATCACTATGGCTGATTTCTTCCAACTAGGTTTAATTTCTATTTTTTAAATATGAGACTCTTTGGAGCCAAGAGATTGTTTCTGGTTTGGAGCTTTGCTAGTCTTTCTTATCACCACCTCTGCCGACTGTCATATATTAAGAAATTCCTGGGTTTTCAAAAGTGGTAGAGGTCTGCAAGGCAAAGATTGTTTATGAATTAATTCAGCAGATATCCCAGAGGCATTTTTTTTCCTTTAAGTACTTTACCTATGGCTGATTCTGCTTTCACTGCTGTTGCATGTTTAAAAAATAATCCCTGCATGCAAGCATGTTTCCCAACTCTTAAACCAACTGAAAGGTTGAAATACACATAAGGAAATATCTATTCCAGCATGCTAAGATTATTCCTTTGCCTCCATGTTTTGTCTGTGAGTTCTATCTGCCTGTCTATTGCCCTACTTATCTCAAATTGGTTTCATAAATTTCTATCCTGGGATTAAAAAATGGGGCTGTGGTTCACCCAGGGCTGAATGTGAAAATAAATCCTTCTTGACTTCACGGTTCTTCCTGTAAAATTGCCAAGCTTGAGCAGTTACCATTTGTTTCCATGACAACCTCTTTCTGACTACAATTGCTTGCATTCTGGTTTTTCTACTAACTGATTTTTCTGTCTCTGCAATGTTTCTTGTGGTTTAACTAGGACAAAAGTATAGCATAGTATCCTTGTTTAGTAATGAGCACGTGCTGTCTGCAGGCTTTGAAATAGACACCCCAGATAAATTTGGAAGAACGTGCCTTCATGCTGCTGCTGCAGGAGGGTGAGTAGTTAGCAATTCTAGTTATTTTTTGACTTAATTACTAATTCATCTTTATTGACCTAAGCTGTCTTGAATCAAAGGCAATTTCCTTAGTAAAATAAGAAAGAATCATTTCTACCAGTTATCAAATATTACTGTTATATTTCCGTATTACTTGAATTTTGTTTCACCAAAGAAAAATTATTAGCCCATCTCAAATAGCAGATAGTTTTTCTTTTACTTTCTTCTTTCTCTTTTCCTTTTTTAAATTATAGTTTTCAGGCTATAGAATACATATCTGTTACCCCATACACCAAAAGAAAATAATTTGAAATTTGTTCCTAGGTTTTTCCTCTTTTGTTGCTGGTATGCGGGTGATGATCAAGAGAATCAAAGATTGAATTAATTTATGTTAATTTATAGACATTTTTATCCTTGTTTCAAATCCGATTTTTAGTCTTTTAGGGATTAAATGTGAACATAGGTCAAGAAAACCCAAAAGACAGGCAAACAGTGATTTAATCCTTACCTTTTTTTAAAGTTGTAAGGAGAATTTTTTCATCAGCTACTTTCTTTTCACATACCAGTGGTATGTGAAAGATTGAAGCTCTGATCAATATATTATTATTGATCTATGTGACCACACATTGACCAAACATGGCATCTCTTGGATGATGTTGTTTGGGGAAGGTGTTGGTTCTTAATCAATTTCCTGGTCCTTAAGGAACAGCAATGCTTCTCCATTTGTCATTTGTATATTACCAAAAGCATTACCTATTTATCAGAGGTGGATAAATGGTGACACTTTAGGGCTCCTTATTTACATGAGTTCCTTCTGAATTCTTATTACTAGATTTGTATTCATAATTGTATATATATATATGTATATATATATAGTGTATATATGTATGTGTATATATATATATATATATGTATATAATTATGAAATTTTAAAGCCCTCTTACCCCCACCTGAGCTCCCAAATTGTATGAGCTTTATGAGCCGCACAAGTTGGCTTCATCAAGGTAAATCAAAGGCAGATTTAACCACTGCCTTTGATTCTTTGGCATCATGCAGTAAGATCAGCTGAATGCTACCCCATTCAGCTGGCATGCTACACCAACACATACTTATCTTAAAAAGTTCTTATATGTTATGATTGAAAGAGCTAGCTCTCTGAGAAGGTGGCTATAAAGGGTGGATTTGGGGTAAAGAGAGCCCTGCTTAGGTTTATCATTGAGATCATTTTTCATAGTTAAATTATAGTAATAATTCAAGGCCACTTCTATCATCCCAAGTATAGAACAATAATGGATAATAGTCTCTTTTTTATGCCCCCATTTAAAAAATATCAGACCTGTACAGAAAGTGGCAACACACAATTCCAGATTCATGTCTGAAATTCTTATTAGAATTGCTATTTAGCTATATGCCCTTTAATAGGAAAAATCACTTCGCTGGGTCCTTTTCTCTCTATTAAATATGATTTATTGCTTCTGTGAATGATAAAGAAGCTATGGAAGATCACTGCGCACCATGACATCATTTTCAGCCTTGGTTCTGCACATTTATTTGCCTAAATTACAAAGACAGGGAAATGCAGTTGCTTTATTTTCCATTAAGGAGCGTCTTGGTTGAAAGTGGTTATCATGGTGAATTCATTCTGCTGTGATAGCAGGTAATGCCCATCCACTCTGGCTCATTGTTTAAAGGGACACGAAATTATTATAGGTTTAAGTGGTTGTTTCATAAACTCTTGATGGTTTTGAAAAAGAATTTCAGGATAAATGATGAAACCATCACTGGAGGGTTTAATCATGTAATAATCATTAAATTTCTTAGTCATGGAATTGAAAATGTTCCACCAAGTTCTTTAATCTGTTGATTTATTAGCTTTGAAAAAGGAATCATAGAAACTTTAGATCCTTACAATATGTCATTACTCTAATATGTTCAGGTTTTTATTAGCAGAATTTGGACTAGAAGCTATCTTTTCATCTGGTCCTGCACTCTGCAGAAAATGGCTCTTGCTGAAGATAGGCCAGTAATTGATCTCTTCCGTCTTAATGATGTTTTCCCTGTCTTTCTAGTAATGTGGAATGTATAAAACTCTTGCAGAGCAGTGGAGCAGATTTCCATAAAAAGGACAAGTGTGGGAGGTATGTTATCAGAGTTCTGCTTCAAGTGCCTAAATAAAAGGAACTGGGAGTGGTCTATCTAGTAATCAAGCTACGTTGAAATGGTAAACTGGGAAGTTAGCTGGGGGGATTCCATCCTTCTCGGAAGGAAGTCTCTTCTCATGGAGATTTCCCGCAAAGCAAATAAGCCACAAAGAAAGCATCTCTACTCACAGCTTAAGGACCTTAGAAGCTTTGCCTTTGGACCCTGTCATGAGGTTGTTACTTGATAATTTTCAGTCTAGTTAAAACATACGCAATTCAATAGGTAAAATACTTAAACATTTCTTTTTTTGAACTAACAGGGAGAAAAATCTTGTTAGTTCAAGATTTTTGAACTAACAAGAGAGAAACTAAATGATTTATACATATACATATACACAGAATTTAGACCAAGAAGGACACAGCAGCTCAAAAGTTCTTATTGAAATAAGGGTGAAAAAGTTCAGACCCAGAGAGGGGATGTGATTTGGGCCAGCTTGCCATCTCCCCACACCAGAGCCCAGGGCTTCTGATCCTGATTTGGATTCTGCATTGTTCTTCTCATTAACCAACATCCCTATCCTCTAGGAGCTTATAGTTCAGTGGGGAAGATGAGACAATACACCAGTGCCAAAATCAAGGCAATATGTGATGAGAACTCAAGAGAGACCCAGACAGCAGCTAAGCCATCTCAGACAAAAGAAAGAGAACTAGTTCCTGGGACAAGAAGGATGAGTGGGGTTTTAATGAGTGGAAGTGATTCATGAATCGGCACTCCCAGGGGTAAACCAACCTGGACAAAGGCTGGGGGAAGTGTGGACATAATCCAGAAAGCCTCAAATCATCCAGTTTGATTATCCTAATGGGTACATCTATGGAAGAGAGATACCCTATCAAAGGAGATTGGGACCAGTTTTGGAAAGTCTTCAGTTCTAGGCTGAGGAATCAAGTCTTTGGTTGGTAGAGAGAACTAAAGGTTTTAGAACACGATTGTTATACATGGGTATTGTACCTTAAAAAATTCTTCATTCAGACTAACTAGAAATTATGGACACTTGATTAGAGCTAAGGAAGTCAATAGGATGGGCTTGCAATGGTCCAAAAAAGCAATAACGTAGACCTGAACTAGGATAGGCTCTAGGAAGGAGAAAGAACAGATCCATGATAGATGGCCTTGTGTGACACCACTGTCTTTGTAGCCTCACTTCCAGTTTATACACGTTAAGCACCCTTCATCTGAAAATCCAAACTCTGAAATGCTGCACAATCTGAAACATTTGGGGCACAGCCATATAATGCTCAATGGACATGCTCATTGGAACATTTTGAATTTTGGATTTTTGAATAAAAGATGCTCAACCATCTAAAACACTTTTAGTTCCAAGCATTTCAGATAAGGGATACCTAACTTGTATAGTTGAAAGAAGCTTTCCACACCCCTAGGAATACTGCTGCCAGTTCTAGTGCCAACAACGAGCCTGTTTTCCAGACTGAATGAAGTAATAAATTGCTGTTTGTTTTTCAGGACCCCTTTGCACTATGCAGCTGCAAATTGTCATTTCCACTGTATTGAGACATTAGTGACCACAGGGGCCAACGTTAATGAAACAGATGACTGGGGACGCACAGCTTTGCATTATGCTGCCGCATCAGACATGGATAGAAAGTAAAAACAGCCTTGCTCATGCTTCCTCTGGGAACAGGGTTGGGGAGTGATGGGGAAGGACTGCTAAGTTTTCTTCATACTGCCTCATGGAAAAAGAGTTAGACTAACCCAGAAGAGTTAGATTTGCTTCATTTCAAACCTGGGCTTTCCTGTTCTGGTGACTTTATGTTTGATTATTACATGTCACTGCTCAATTACTTCTCTGTTCTTTGGGTTGAATGCCAAGTGGAGCTGTCAAGCTCAGGTTTACGGTTCATTCAAAATCTGTTGTAATTTATTTTGACATATACCATAGTTTTCATCATCACCACTTAAATGCTTCATTTGCTAATATATATGTCATATGTCAAAAACATCCACCCATGCAGAATCCCAGCAGTCTTTAAGTATAGCTTCAGTACATGCAAACTAGGTACCATTGTTCCAAACCTGGGCATGAATGCTCTTTCAGGAGCTAGAGGAGAGGAAGTTGGTTGCTCAGGACATGTCTGGATTCTAGGGGGGTAGGAATGGAAATAAGCAAACCAGTTCAAGGGGAAAAGGTGGGGGAGATGCCCACAGTTGATGAAACTGTTCTTAGAAGCTTCAGGCAGGGCCTCCTTCATAAGAATGCTTTTTGGTGACCCTGTTTGAAGAACTGTTGAATTATTTGCTGTCTTGTGCTGCGGAATTGATTCTGGGTCAGTGCTAACTGCTTCTTCTGTAGAGCAATGGCTTTTAAATGGTGACCCAGTGAGAAATAATATCTTACAATCATGACCCCATATGCACATTGACATATATATAGTTTATATACTTTGTAAAATGAAAATAGTTTTCATAAAATCATATTTACTTTTACCATGTGTGATGATGCATTCTGATATTTTCTCTATTTCATTAGAGAAAAAAATCTTTCTGATTGCAACCCACTAAATCGATTTCACTATGAGTTTCAAAACGGGTTATGGTCCATAGTTTGAAAAATACTGCTTGTTTCCTCTTCATAGTTATATAATAAATAGAAATAATAATGTCAGATGTAGTATTCTGATCACTTGTGCTTGCAGGTTATTAACAGACATTGCTTAACAAACATTTATTGAGCATCTACTGTGTGCCAAGCTCCAGGCGATTCACTTAGAATAGACTGTGGGTGGTGGAAAGGGTGGGGAAACAATATACTTCATCTTTTAAGAGCTGGAAAAGGAATTCTGGATGATGAAGAATTGTTCTGTCAGATGAAGGGTAAATATGACCCCATTTCTGGACAAATGAGATGCTAGCTGGCAGTGGGGAATGTAGTAGGAGTCGGAGAAGTTTCAGCTAAGTCACTTCTTTACTTGGGAAGTTTAGGATGTTTATAGAAGGGTGGGCAACTTGATTGTTACCTTAATTGCTGATACTTAAGTGGAAGTTTTAAGAAATCATATTCTCAGTTGGATCCTTGGGAGAGAATAGATTTACTGGATGGCTTTGGAGAGAACCATATATACCTTCAGTGAAAATCAGTGGTGCTTATTTCTTCTGGGCTGGGGTAAAAATCATTGAGATATTAATTGCACCAGAACCATTAACAGCTTTGCCATTTAAAAAAATTAATTGCTACTTTTTTTTCTATCCTTTATGCTGAGAAGTAAGACTATCTTAGGAAATGCCCATGAAAATTCAGAAGAACTTGAAAGAGCCAGGGAGCTGAAGGAAAAGGAAGCCACACTGTAAGTTTCTTCTCAGCTTAAGAACAAGGTGCCATTTCCGATGCTTCATCTGCTTCTCTGAGTTGCCACGTTGCTTGCCTTACTATTTTGGGGTTTCACTTGGGATCTTGAGGAAGTGATATGGGCTTGCCTTTAATGGAGAAGAAACTACTCTTAATACAGCCTTCAATTCTGCTACTTTCACACAGAGAACTTTCTAAAATTGTAAGGTTTGCTTCAGCCACCACTGTGGTCAGCAGTTTTTAGGACCTGGTGTCCCAAATATCATTTCTGACTGTGATGCATCATGTACCAAGGAAAACAGATGAAGCCTCCTCTTGGCGCCTTAGGTTATGCTTTTATGACCTGGGGACATTTATTTAGCAGATTCTATTTTAAAAGATCTTCGTACTTTGGTGTGAAATAACTACTTGTGCTTTCCCCTCACCCCTAGCCCACACACACATCAATTTAGGAAGAGCCTCCTGCTCCTGTACACAGCTGCTCCTGGGGCCCCTTATCCTACCTGCTTCTCGCTAGCTTCTGACAGAGACATAGCTCATTGCTGTTGCAGGGATGGGAGTGCCTGCCATCACTCAGGGTTGTAGATGCATGGGAGGCTCTGTGGCTTTGTCCTCTGAGAGTCCTTTCGGCACCACAGATCACAGTGAGAAACTAACAGTGCTTAGTGCAATGCCTAGCACATAGTCAGTGTTCAATAACTGTTCAGTAAATGAACAAACAAATGAACTGGTGCCCACACCTGGTGCCTCACCCCTGTGGAACCTAGTGGATATGGTGCTCTATGAGTCTGCAAGCACATCGTGGTTACTTATTTATTCCTCGATTGTCAGAGGAGCCAGTATCTCTGGGGCCTGAATGCCTGTGTCTACTCCAGGGTCTTCCCACCCTACACCGGGCTACTCCCATGCCCAGACTGTTGTAGAAAGGCATAGTTAGAGAGTATGGCTCCAATGCAGGTTGTGGGACTTAACTTCGATGGTAATTGGGAAGGGGACAGGAAACGCAGCAGTGAATAAAGTAGAATGACTGAAGTTTTGCTTTAATATCCCCAAATTTAAAATAACAGTATTAAAACACTGTAGCATTTTAAGCCACCACGGCAAATGCCCCCTTCTCCAGTGAACTGCAAGCTTGCCCTGAGCCAGACAAGCTGATGGAGAGGGAGGGGACAAGGAAGGTAGGACAACGAGGGGGAACCAGCTGCCTGAGACCTCTTCTACACAAAGGGGGTCCACTCCCTGGTATCCAGATACGCCTCTGACCTCATGGGCATCTGTTAGCTTTACATCTTAATTACCAAAATTACTAGGCCCTGGGAAGAGAGAGAGAGAGAAAATAAGCATTCCCAGTTAAAGCACAGAATTCACGTTTCCCTTACAAACAATGTGGTGAATATCCAAATTATACATTACTTTTATTATAATACTACTATTGATTGTATATATAGTTCCGCTATATTCTGGGTTAAATAACTCAGAATAATTCCAAGTGTTTTCCAAATTATAAATTCAGTTTATCAACTGATTTTTAGGACGTAATCCATTCAGAAGTTGGGGACTGTGTGTCCACTAGCATGTTATTCCTATTGAATGATTTTATATAAACGGCCAAATTCAGTTTACAGTGAGTCATACCTGGGATCCCTTCCATGGGCATTTAATTACCAGAATAAAAAAGAACATCCTTATAAGGTGCAAATGACCGAAGAGAGAATAATGGCTGGACTCTAAGAATAGTTTGATTTACTATAAAGCATTTTATGAATAAATCATGTGTCATGTGGGTATTTGGGTTTTAAAAAATATATGGCTTTCATCAGTTTTTCTAGAAATTGAAGTATCTGCTTTAATTGTCCCTATGTGTAGTTGACTTTTTTCCTTTTGCCTTATACCAAAAGATAGGAAAATGCCATTTTAAAGTTTTTGGGTAAACTCTAGAAATTTTCTATTGGAAGGTTTTATTGAATGTATGGGTTGATACTTAGAATCTTAATATTTTGATTTGAGCATGAAATTGGATCGGTTTGGCCTTATAAAGGACATGTTTGTCCCACTATCGCAGGAATGATGCTGCTGTGAAGCAGTGCTTCCTGACTGGTGACTCCCTCTTTCCCAGCAGGACCGGACCATTTGCAGTAGGCCCTGAACAGAACTCATTACATCCCTGGGTGCTTGTGAACTAGAGTTTTGGGCTCTTCAGTGACAGTGGAGCCATGTTCCTTCCTCTAAGCATCCCACAAAGACTGTGGCTTTTTGAGAAAAATTACAACTCTGTCTGAAAAGGCTTTAAACATTTTTTTTCAGATCTATATTCTTAATCGTGAAATTTAAGCCTCTTTATTCATATGTGGCTATGAAATTAATTCTTTGTTCTTTAAAAGTGCTAACCCATTCCTTTAATTTTTTTTTATTGTTTAGGCTATTCTTATTTTTTTTAAATTCTTTTTAACTTTAATTTTTTAACTGTTGATTTTATGGTGAGGTTAAGAGTCAACCTCTCCCTATTGAGGCTGCCCTGTTACAGTGCTTGACCACTTCCTTATTATGTCTGAGACTGTTGACAGGGAGTTCTAAAACTTATTTTTCAGTAATCTTGATGACAGACATTTTTACCTGAAGATGAGATGAAAAAAAATCTTAATTACCCTCTTTCCTAAAGCTTTTTCCGAATTCTAGAATGGCTATATTAAGCTCAAATAAAGATAGCTACAGAAAACACACACACACAATTTTCAACACATAAAACTTCATTGCTGTAGGATTTTTAAAGAAACAAACTCATCAAGTACTTCATGAAACATTCATAATAGGAGGATTTACATAAATCATATTTTTCAGTCCAGAGATGTTTTCTAAAATAACACTTCATCTTTATACTTACAGATGTCTAGAGTTTCTGCTTCAAAATGATGCAAATCCATCTATCCGGGATAAGGAAGGTTACAATAGCATACACTATGCTGCTGCCTATGGGCACAGGCAATGTCTGGAACTGGTGAGTTGTTTTGTTCTCTCTCTCTCTCTCTCACACACAAACACACCCATTTCCCACTCTGGAAATACTGGTCTTACAGTCTCAACAAATGCCATCCTGCCTAATTAAGTCACCAGCAGAAATCACCTTGAAGATATTCTGGGGTAAGTGACTACATTGTTACATGTTATGATATGTAGATCTCTTTTTTCCATTTCTGTCATTCCTAGTGTCAGAACTGACTGACAATTGACTCTTTTCTACTTTACTGTAATTTGGCTGGGAATGTTAGATCTGTGTAGGGACACTATATATATATTTTTTTCCCATTTATTTTATTGCATTTTAGGTTTTGGGGTACATGTGAAGAACATGCAAGATTGTTGCATAGGTACACACATGGCAGTGTGATTTGCTGCCTTCCTCCCCATCACCTACATCTGGCATCACTCCCCTTGCTCTCTCTCCCTAGTTCCCCAACCCCACCGTCCCTCCCCAATTTCCCCCCAAATGACCCCAATGTGTAGTGCTCCCCTCCCTGTGTCCATGTGCTCTCATTGTTCAACACCCACCTATGAGTGAGAACATGCGGTGTTTGATCTTCTGCTCTTCTGTCAGTTTGCTGAGAATGATGGTTTCCA